TCTCAAGTACTGGGTGTCATTAATGAATTGAATTTTTACTAGAAAAGCCAGCTTGGTATAAGGGTCTTTATTTACTTTTTGTGTGCGTGTGTGTGCCTGTGTGTGTGCGAGAGACAGAGACAGACAGAGAGGGACAGAGAGAGGGTGAGGATGGAGCCCAGGAGCTCATGCATGCCAAGCAAGAGCTCTACCACAAAGCTGTCTGCAGATCTTACTACCAGGATCTTGATAGAGGTGTTTCAAAGATTATGTTTAAAGGCTTTTTTATATAGCATCCAATTGAAGCAAAAAGTTAAATTCATGAAATAACTTATTGATAAACTAGTTTATCATTGATAAACTAGTTTATTGGAGTCACTAATGGAAAATTGCCTGACTTCCAGTAATTTCTACCGTAAGTCATGACTCCTTGGAAAATAGAACAGTGTAGTTGCCACGAGTTTGCAGTGCTTGCCCCCTACATATGACATGCCTGAGAGATGCACACAGAAGACTCCGGAGGCCAACAAAATCAGAAACATGTACAGGTAGGTACTCATTCAATTTTGTGGAATGAATTAATAATTAGAAGTGAGAGTCTCAAAAGGTAATAATGCCTGTCAGAGGCTTAAGAAAATAAAGGAAAAGCCTTATTTAAGTAGTTCTCATCACCTACTGCTGCCAATTACTATCAGTGAAGGGCTGGGGGAGGCTGAGGGACAAGTTCAAGGTCACCCAGCAGGTTAGTAATAAGGCTAGGATCAAAACATGGGCTCCCTGAATCCTATCTGACTTCACCGTACCGTGGGTGCATAAACCAATGGACACAGGGTGGCCAAAGAGGCAGCTTAGTCTACACAAGGTCAAACTCGTGGCATGAATAGAGAAATGGTCAGAATCAGAGCCCTCGCAGCGATCTCTGTCCTCACGGTCAGGTGGGTGTCGAGAGTTTATCAGTGAAGGGACTGCCTCTGACTTGCTGCCGTTCTTTGCCATCAAGGGGCCGGGACACTGAACAGGGTGGAGATGCACACTGACCAGAACGCTTCCCACAGAGCCGTGCACGGTGAAAGGAACGGTTTCATAAAGTCGCTTTACCCTCACCTGACCTCTCTTTCCCTCAAGGGCAGAGTGAGGTCGCCATGGGTGGCGTTAAACACCTTCTCCAGCCAAGCCATGCGTCTTGGCTTCAGCAAGTGAGAGGCGGTGCAGGGACAACTCTGGAGACAGAGCGAAGTGTCTGTGGGGAGACACACACAGTGGGGGACACGGCACAGCCCACAGGCTGCCCTCACTCTGCTCATGGAGCACAGCCGACCTCTCAATCCAGCCCACAGGATGCTTCTCCTCCAGTACTGTGAGTGAAGCCAAGGCCTCTACGATGAGTGATGTCCCAGCCCATTTTTATTTTTAATCTGAGCAGCTCTGAATAGGTCACCAAGTCGCCCAGGCTGGGCTGGAACTTTGGATCCTCCTGCCTCAGCCTCTGTGAGAGCTGAGTCCAGGCCTGTACCAGCTGGCCTGGCTTTACAGATGCACTCTTTTAAGGACACCACTTCATTAGCTTTCCTGGGGAGGCTTGGACGGGTGTCACTCTCACAGGGACACATCCTGCCCCACGGTGGCAGGTGCTGGGGCCCAGTCCAGCAGGAAGCCAGAGGGTGGGTGTGCTCTGTATTGAGGTCCTTTCTGGCTTAAGAGTCTACTGATCAAAAACGTCTGATCATTCTTATAAAGTATACAAAATGAAAGGAAAATGTGATATCCATGTGACAAGATTCTGGTTATAATGTTGTTGATTGTCCAGTTCTCAGAATGGACAGAATGAACTGCTTTGCCCTGGAAAAAGCAGCTAAGATTTGAAATTAGATGGACTCTACTCCTGCCATAACGGGTTCAAGACTTCTGAGGTTTGTGGCACCCATGTACATACTGGAGGGTGACAAATTTACTAGTTGTGAATTTAAGTGAGATAGTGCTTAAAAAATATATTGTTATCATACCTGACACAGAAATTCACAATACATATTAAATTAACTAACAATACAGAATTAAGTAATTAATGAATTAATAAATATTAGTGAATGTTAAGAATATGTAAAGATTCATATGAAACTTAGCAAGTGATAAGAAGAATTATAATGGACAGCCATCTGACCTCTGAAGCAGTATAGAGGCACAAAATTTAATCAATAACTGTATTAAAAATCTTCACAGGAAATTTGTTTCCAAGAAAAAAAGAGTTAATGAAAACGCATTCAAGAATTCTTAGCATAATTAAACATGGCATGCTATGGATGCAACTATATTGAAATTATAAGCTGAAATTTCACAGATTCCCACCGCAACTGTACATTGAGGAGGAATAATTTTGAAATAATGATTTATCTTTTCATGGTTCCCACTGACCCCTCCTAAGAAAATATCTTCTCTTTAAAAACACAGTGATGTGCTTATATGATGCCAACTCCTATTTATATATGTACAGAGACAGGCACACATACAATTTCATAAGGCGTTAATACATTCAGTTTTTTATGAAAAAAATTTAAATGTCTTGGTAAATTATGTGTGGCAGGAATTACATTTAAAATTAAATTACATTTAAAATTACAGCTTAAAATACAGATGCAGAAGAGTAGTTGGGAAGTCATCCAGCTGGCTGTAATATCTGCTCTGGACTCAAAGGGGACATGGCACTAGGAAGTGGCTTTCTTTATCTCTCAAATCAGCATTGTTCTCTGACCCGCTGCTAAGGGCATCTGTCTTGGCAATTGTTAGAAAATAGACTGCAGTAGAATGGAAGGAACACTGGGCAAGTGCTCAGAAAGTCAGCCAACTTTTTCTTCCATCTTCTCAGTTTCCACATCTGTACAATGGCTATAAACATTCCAGTCACGCTTATTACAGGAAAATGATCTGATCAACCACTCAAGTTACACAGAAGAAAGCTGGGTAGTGAAGTGACTCCCGTAGGGTCACATAGCTAATCAGTGACAGAATCAGGACTAGAAATGAGTCCTTTGAAGAGCTGGCCTTTCTGCCGTAACAAAGCTGCCATTGAAGCAAGATAGGGAAGTGCTTTGAAAAAACCTAATAGAAGCATTTTGTTCAGTAGAAGTATTATGGGGTGTATCTACTAAATCACAATCAGGGGCATCTCATGGCAATTAATTAAGAAATGCTTTGAGACTATACCTGTTTCTTTAACGGTAGTCGTCTGTCTTTCTCTTAAAATCAAATGCACTAGGCTTCATTTCTCAACAAAAGCACAAGAGGTAAACATTAACTGAATTAATTCAGACACTGAAGTGGATTTTCAGGGACTTGACTTGCCCAAGCTAGTTTTCTGCAAAGCCTAAATTAATCAGATAATTGCTAATTCTCTCCTTTGTTTTGTGCTCCTCAGAGAGTCTATTTGTTAAAATGAACCTAGTGGGAGAATAAACAGACATTTTAAAAATGCAAAACACTGACTCTGTACTAACCGAACAAGTTCCAAAACATGGTTTTTTTAAGGTATCATTTCTGGACATTAAAAGTTAATTTTTTTCTGTGAATGTGGACATTACTGCTGTTTTTCAGGTTGAAAGAGGACCTTTTAGACAAATTTTTAAAAATCAGGATATTATGAATACAATTTGTTGCATTATTAGTAGAAAAATATTTACATGCTCTTTTGGCAGGACTAAAAACAACACTTAAGTCTTTTAGATTTAATTTTTACTGACACTTGAAAAATACAGCCAATCTAGCATGGTTCTAAATAACTTAACAACAATCAAAAGCTTTCCAACGAGGCAAACAATGCTCTTTACCCTCCTAATATCAGGAAGAAAGTTTGGAAAGTAATTTAATTAATTGATTCTGGAAAAATTAATTACATATGAAATGAGACTCATTGGATAGTTCCTGTTTCATCAGAATGTCAAGAGTCAGGAACAACTGTTCTTATCATTTATCATTTCAGCTAGCATAAAACAAGACAATTGTGATGATGATTAAATATTTTGCTCAAATAAACTTAAGACTAAAACCTCTAAACCAGCGTAGGCACTGAGTCCACTGTTTTGCATTCTTGCATTTCAGTGTGAAGTTATTTTTTACTGTGTGTGTGCATAAACCATCATTGAACTGACCAAAAAAAAAAAAAAAAAACCCAGTTAACTTTCAAATTCACTGCAGCAATATAATTTGGTTTTAAGGGCATTAACTAAAGTGAAAATGTGAGTAATTTACTCTCTGTAGCATAATAACTGGTGATTCCTCAGATAGTTTTCATAAACAGTTGGCAAACTGTAACATACAACAGCTGTCACTATAAATTGAACGTCAGTGTTCATTTAGGAATATTAACCATGTGAACTTTCATCAGCTCTGTAGCCAAGGTTTGTGCTACTTCCAAAAGTTACAGAAAATTAATACAGTATTTTTAGCCAAGTGTACTGCAGCTTTAGTCTGTTTTTAATTTCTTCAGTTTTATACATAAAAGGCTGTAATCATACACAAATGGCTTTTAGAATTTCCTCCAGCACATGAATTGCGTAAGGAAATGTATTTGATAGATTTACATCTTGGAGGTGAGAGAATAAATAAACCACAGAAATGGGATTACCAGAGACGTGCTTTGCTTTTTCGAATGAGAAAACAAGGACCGCATTTTCAATAAGCACAGCTCCAGTGACTGTGTGCTAAATAAAGTGGCCCGTGAATCCTTGGAGCAGCTGTAGTGCCCAAATCTGAGGCTGGATCTCTGGCTGCGTGCTAGAGTTTGCACTGTGCTGTTTTGTCCTGTTCGAACAATTTATTTCCAAGTAAAACTTGCATGACAGATTGCAAACCCTTTTGTACAAACCACTAAAAAATTACATCTAGTATCAAATTTACCCTGATCCGCACATGCAATATAATGTAGTATTCAGCTACAGAAATGTCTGCTCTTAAATGATTAAAACCTTTTTTCCCCCAGGACCCACGTGAAAAACACAGAGAAAGCTACAACAAAGCACAAAACGCAGTACCTGCAACTGCCCGCTCTTCCCAGAACGCACCCTTGGGCAGCGTAGTCTCTCCTTGGCAGCACTTCTGTGCCAAATGCTTCCACCTCCCCAAAAATGTGTGTCAGCACAAGCCCAGACGAAACTGCAAATCCAGGAAAATGAAATTAACCATGCAGATCAAAGGCAGAGGAGCTGGGAGATGAAATGCCTGTAATCTGATCAGTGATCGGTTGCTGAACATCAAAGGCAGGGCTGAGCTTATATATATGCAGGGATATCCAGAAAGTTCACTTTCAGCAAGTAGGTAGCTGCCCTCCCGCCTGCCGGGCCACGCATTCTTTTCTTAAATGCGGATCACGTCCTTTTGCTCTGATTTTTTGCACGGGGCACAGCCGGCGGCTCCTCCATGCTGGGGCTGGCGGCTGGTCCCCGCTCTGCAGTTCCCAGGCTTCGCTGTGGGCTGTGTGCTGGAAGCTGTTCCTACTGCCAGCGGGCTCTGCTTTATCCCTTTCATCTCGCTGAACTACAGATCCCATGACATCATTCAGCGCCGTGGGACTTAGGAGAGCCGTAATTCAGCTCAAGAGAAACCAGAGTTCGCCTGATTTCTAATCACGTTAGTCCATTGTGCTTCACACAGGACAGTTTCTGTTATCTGTCCCCAGCTGGAAGAGACAGGCTGCTGTGGACATTCCTGAAGTGATAAGATCCCTGGTGAATGGGGTCCAGCCAAAGGACAGCCTTTAATTGCCTTGTGGTTGATAGAAATCAGAATTTCCTACAAAGAGCTACTATCAAATATTCACAATAGCTAAATAGCAACGTAGAATTATTAGAACATTCCCTCAAAACCTCTAAAGTTACATTGCCAGAGGGACTGCATTTCATTTTAAACTCTTGTTTGTGTTTTCAGTGGGACACATTTTGAACAATTTTTAAGTAAATTGCTTTCCTCAAAATGTAAATTATGAACATTTGACTGGCAATCATGTAGTGGTATTTTCCTTAAATTAGTTAAACAGGAGAAAACCAGTAATTCACAGGCGACAGATATCTGCCTTACCACCTCAGGCAGAGGCGGAAACAGAGTCTTGATCTAAACTGGGGATTCTGAAAATGCAATCTTAAGATGTCTAGTTCGTAGGCAGAATCCACAAACACCACCCAAGCATTTTAGAATTCACCAAAGAAAACAGCTACTCCAGGAAAGGAGTGCCTGTGGCTACTCCACAACTGTGCCCCCCAACTTCCCAGGTAGCTGGGTGGATTTTAGCTGAAAACTCACCATTTTAGTCTAATTCTCTATATTTTAAAATTAAATCTACCACACATTATTTAGAATTTCCATATTATTTTTCCTGAACACCAGATTCAAAACAGTAAAATTGTTTTATGATCAGTATTGTATACATAAAAGAGATGAATACCTTTCATCTTCACTTAAATCCAGTGTGTTTCTGAAGCCCAGATGGTTCTTTCCTAGAACAAAAGGAAACATTTCCGTTTTATCATGGAAACTTCTCAACCCTTAAATGGCCAAAGGAAAATACTCTTGTAAATCTTTCTATTTATAAGTTCCTTCTGTAATTGGTTTCATTTAACTTTTTCTAGTGTAATATTTGAAAATGTATTTTATGATAGATTTATTTCCAGGCTTCTATGATTCTTGAACAAATTTTAATAGCAAAATATTTGGTTTGAGCAGTGTATGAGTTCACTATAGCATTTGAGTAGTCCTGTTTATTTAATGTTTTCTTTGGGAGGGGGAAGTGCCAGAGACCTGGGTATTTCCCAAGGCAAGCACCCTACCGCTGAGCCACACCCCAAGCCCTACTGTTTCTCTCACAGTTTTTATATGTCATGCATCATTTCTCAAAGCTGAGAAATTTCACAGAGCTGAGATGGTTCTTGAACTCAGGGATGTAGTGCTGTGTGACTTTCTTGAAGCATCGCAGGAAAATTCCTGTGACACCTGAAGTCTGCACAATTCCTGAGCTCATGAATACAAAGTAAATGTTTATAAGCATAAAACATTTGCAAGAGAGTATGTGTTCATTTCTTTTTGAGGCCATCCAACCCTCCCACATGTATGAAGTTCATATTTCATATTCCATCAGCCTGCACCCGGAAAGAAATTCTCACCATGGATTAATTCCCCGAAAGATAACGACTCCGTGAGGTCCTCTGAGTAACTAAGACTGTACGTCCTTCCAGAGTTTAACACCAGTAGAGATGGGTGAGGACTTGGATTAGGATTCTCATAGCTTTCCTGGAAGTTTACAGGAGACATTTGGAAGCCAGGACAAATACATACACACCAATCAAATTGTTCTCAGTTTACACACATCTCATCAAGAAAAACTGGTTGTTCAAGATGCAGTGTCACCATCAATGGAACACATCATTCACCAAGTCACTGAACATTATTTTGAGCTGGTCGTTGTGGCCAAGAACTCCTGTTCTGTGAGATGAAAGGGGACAGAGGCAGGTCCCGCCTGTCCCCAGATGCAGAGTGGGGCTGAAGGCTGGCCTCCCAAGAACGGCAGCCCTGACTTGCGCATGCAGGGCCTTCACCAGGAGAGGTGGCCTGGACCCTTGTTTATACACGGCAGCACGGAGGGAGCCATGCAAAGCAAAGCCAAGTAGCCTACGTTATGTGTGATGCTCTGGAGATGAGAAATACGTCACTATGGCCCACACATATTCATGTGCCACCTAACGAGATGTTTTCTAAGAAATGTGTCATGTGAATGTCACAGAGTACACCTACACAAATCTAGGTACATCGTTCACTACACACCTAGGTGTCTGAGATAGGTTGGAGACATGGTGAGCAAAGCAATTTAGGGCCGGATCAAGCACAAAAGGAAAGGAGGCCATCAGGAGACAAGGAGAGCACCAGAGCTCACTGGCAAATATTTTTTCCTAACTTCATGTCTTCTAAACTTTCTGTTTAGAGGATACATTCTGGATTATATCATATAAGCAAAGCTTCATTGCATAAACTGAAAGGAATTGGAATGAGCTACTGCTCAGATAACACACAGATGTGCATACACACTGTTCATTTCTTTGAACAGTTTTAGACAGAACAATTGAGTGCTTACAACAGAGATTTCCTGTATGCCCCTGTGCCTTACACCATCAACCCTGTTATGAGCAACTTATATTTCTATGGTGTATTTGTAACAGTTAATAAACATTTGCAGCATTATCAACTAAAGCCATGGTTTGCACTAATATTCCCTCCCGGTGTGTACAGTTCTGTGGAATTTGGAAAGTGCGCAGTGTCGTGTGCCCTCTATTATAGTGTCATGCAGAGAAATTTCTTTGTTGAAGCATCTCTTGTGTTTTGTGGATTTGTTCCAGGTCCCCCAACCCCCTATAATCACTTTCTGCCATCTGCATCACTTTGTCTTCGCCAGGATGTAAAGGGTTTCTGGTGCAGAACCAACAGCCTTTCCCTGTGGCTTCTTTCCTGATCAGTATGCTTTTAAGGTTCTTTCATGGCTTTTTGTGGCATGAGAGTTAATTTCTTCTTATTATTGAGTAGTATCCCATTGTCCAGATTAACAGTTTTTTTCCCAATCACTGATACCAGGACACTGCAATTGCTTCCAGTTTTAGTGATTTTGAAAGTTCTCATGTAGACTTAAAGTTTTAACCCAAAGGCAATGAACACCCGGGAGCTGGATCATATGACAAACTCAAGGTTAAGTTTAGAAGAAACTGCCATACTGTCTTCCAGAATGACTGTGCTCTGGACAAGATGACATATACCCATAATCTGAGCACTTGGAGACTGAGGGAAGAGGAGGCCAGCAAGCTTAAGGTTGGTCTGGAATATATAGGGAGAGAGTGTCTCAAAAAAGCCCCCATCTAACCAACAAGGCAGTGAAACAAATATACCATTTTCCATCCACCCCTGCAATGAATGAGATCTCTTTTGCCCTCTGTTCTCGTCACCTTTTAGTGCTGTCACTTTTTAACATTTAGCATGTCTAGGAGGTGATGGCATCTCCTTGTTTTAATCTTCCGGGGCTCACTGCCACGCGTCCTGAGCATTATCCAATATTGCCATCTGTGGTGGCATCTTCTTTGGAGTCATGCCTCTTTAGACGATTTTGCATATTTGAAAACTGGACAGCATAGCTTTTTACTGTTGAATTTTAAGAGTTCTTTGTCTGTTTGGGGTATGCGGGCTGTATACAGAGGCATGTGTAATTTTATAAATACGGTAGTGTCCCCATCCAGAGTTTTGTTCTTTGCAGTTTCACTTACCGTATCAACTGCAACCTGAAAATGTGACGTGGAAAATTGCCGAAATAAACGGTTTCTAGGTTTTAAATTTCATGCCCTTCTGAGTAGGATGGCAAGATCTCTGGTCACTCTGCTCTGCCCTTCTGAGCACACAGCTCATTCTTTTGTCCAGCACATTCATTGTCTATTTGCTGCTTGTCTATTGGTCACGTAGTAGCTGCCTTGACTGTCACCCAGATTGTCACAGTGTAGCAGGCTTGTGTTCAAGTAACCTTCACTTGTAGTAACGGCTCCAAAGCACAAGGGAAGTGGTGCTGACAACTGAGCTTGACAAAGAGAAGCCAGACAGAGCTTCTTTAAGTGACAAGATGGAAGTTCTTGACTTAATAAGAAAAAATGTTAGCTGAGGTTCTAAGATCTGTAGCATATTTTTGAGGTACATACACCATTCACATAATTTTTATTACAGTATATAGTTTTCTATTTTGTTATTGGTTATTATTAATCTCTTTCTGTGCCTAATTTATAAATTCAACTTTATCATCCGCATGGAGGAAAACCAGATGTGTAGAGCTCGGTACTATCCAGTGTGTGAGGTACCCTGGGGTCTCAGACTCCATCTCCTATGCACAAGGTGGGGAGCAAATTACTCTCTCCTGGTTTGTAACATGTCTCTTCATTATCTTAACAATGTCTTCACAGAAAAGTTATAGATTTTAATAACATCTACTTATCAAATTTTATAGACTGTAGACTTAATGTTGTATCTAAAATGTTATTATTGAACCCAAGATCATCAGGATTTCTCCTATGTTTTCTTCTCAAATTTTTTCTTTTGAAGAAAATAGCACCAAATGAGACAAAATAAAATAGAGTCAATCAAAGCAAAAGGGTCAACATAGTACATGACTTATAAACAAAATATAAGGAGATCAATAATGGCTACCATAATGCCTCTTGTTGTCTTCAAAAGATTTGCCTATATCATCAGGCATTATAAAATTGAACAAAACAGTACAGAACAAAACCAATAAAAACAAAACATTGGAGACATTATAGGACTTCAAAAGAAGATAATAGTCCAACCAGAATGAGTATCATAGTGTATCTTACTGTCTTAAAAGTAGTTGCCTATATCCTCAGACTTGAAACTATCAAACAGAATAGAATAAAATCAGCCAAAAAAAAAAAAAAATGAAAGCAATACAGGGCTTCAAATCAAGTTAATAGGAGATCAAAAATGGTTACCATAATATAACCTGGTATCTTTGGAATAGCTGTCCATGCCATCAAATCTAATACAAGTAGACAAACTGAGACAAAATAAAACCAAACTAAACAGAACAATAAAAACAATATGGGTTTCAAATTATGA